CGACTAGTTTCCTGATCTGGTGAGGTTTTGTAAAAAGCTTTTTCAGCACGAGTAATACTGTTCAATAAAAATTCGGTATTCAGTTTTTACAACCATTAACCGTGCACTTTTGTGCGCCGGTTTTGGTTGCTATCTTTTGGCCGCCCATTTGGAAGATAGAGAATTCAGATAGACGGAGGTTGGAAGAATCAGGAGCGCATGATTCTTGATTCATGAGTGCCACTGTTTGCGACACCGAACCACATCACCCAGTGCATCTGAACACCATTGATCATGATCTCAGGGTCCCCATCCAGGGAGCCTAACCGCACCTTTTTAAACCAGTCTCCTGGTTACGGTTTACATACCCCTGTTGCCAAGTCTTTGTTTGACCAGTCTTGCATTTTTGTTCCACTCGCTGATGGCCTCAGCAAACGTCGCTGATCGTGGCTAACCTATCTGACGACGATGCGCAGCACATGTCCCAACCAACGTAATCTATGGAGGTCGACTATGGGTTCCAGTGGACGATCGCGATGAACGAGACCTGTTTTGATAGGGAAAGGAAAATGGACACACGGGATTAGGCCGAACAGGACAGGCTGCCGATCAACTATTACACAGGATGTAAACAGCTGGAAAAATTCAGCAGGCGTTGTCGTGATTCGAAAACACTATCCTCGAGAGAATGCGATAACACTGTTTGATCATTAAATGTTCACCGCGATTTGCCTGATTATGATAAATCGCTGTCCCCTATCTCACTATAGGGTCGTATTTGCTACACCTTTCAGGTACGCGTGATGGTTACTCGATGTACCAGTTTGTTGATCTCTCCCCCAGACTGTCTGGTGCGTTCTTGAATAGTAACGAAAGAGCGCGATGTCCCGCGGTGTAAATCAGTGGCAAGTTAATGAAACCAGACTGTTCGTGACAGATCGAGTGCATGCTTTAGCATTCTGGTCGTTTCTACCCTATGGTACAGACAGACACGGTCGTTGTGGTTCGAAGACAAACGTCGGCTAGTAGTGATCGTACAATACTGTTTACGGAGCATTGCATGGGTCTAGTGATAGAACTGGATAAGAAATGCCAAGGTTAGGCGGAGAGTACTACGCGATCGTCGTCACTGATTAACACAAATACTTCATCTTCACCGATGGCAATAGCCGGGTTCCGTGCTAGGCATATCACCGAAGAGACGAATTTGTCTTTTAATTCTTACCGATGTAATTGAAGATTGTTATCTGTGTTTTGATGATCAAACCTGGCGTAACTACTGTGAACAATAGATTTGGTTAGGTAGGCGTCCCACTTGTGGTGCAGGATTGACGTAATCGATAACTGAAGATATAAAGTTATTATATCGTAATTTCGTAAACTGAAAAGTTAGGAAGCTTTCGAAAGCTGTTTCGACCTGGTTGGGTCGCATCAGCAGTGCGCATCCATCAGTCCGACTGTGGATCGAACCCGAGATCTTACAAGGAGAATGCAGGCACACTATCCACTCAGCCACCAACCAGCTGATCAGACTGTTTTTCGTTTTCTCCTCATACACGACATAGCACAACCCGTCTTTGCAAGCTTGTTGCGGGTTGTGTGCATGACGAAATTCACTATGCAATCGAATCAAATCCTCCGTTCCTATCATGTTAGATAATGTTTCCAGTCGACTCACAACCCCGGAGGCTAGTGCTGGGATGACCGAAGTACAAGAACAGAACAGAACAAGCTTTTGGATCTGCTCAGTTTTACCACCGATCATGTACGACTGTTCATCTTTGATGTATTCTAATTTATTTCCTTCCGGAATCCGGAAGTGGTTAACCAAAACCGAGGCAAGGAGATGCTTTGCAAATGATCGAGCACGATGCCACGGAACCTGAATTGTATGTTTGCTCCATGATCTGTTGTGTCTCCCTGCTAGGTTCGAATCACGGCCACTCTGGTTGGCATCAGCCCGGTGGAATAATGGCACCGCGCTCAAGGACACGTTTTTATTTTCCCATAGATGTTTTACAATACTTGATAGGTGCGAGAGTTCTCGACCCGGAAGATTGTCACCCCGTTTTTTTCTTTTTTTTGTGCTTTGTAGAACGGCGTCTTGGTGCAAATGAGGCTCCGCTTATGGTACAATTGAATTGGGCGTACGATGAACGTGAGGTTCGTTTTATTCTACGTGACGAGTCCAAACCGATGCCCTCAGCTCGAAGCAACCATGCCCTGGAAGTAAGTTTTGTCTGAACGCTGGGAATGTCGAATTTTTTTTCTCCAATGATTCTTCTCAATAGACAATGAACCGTTTTAACCCTTTAAACCCATAGTCACGAGAACCTCCGGTTCATTCCTGTCATGCCCGTTTGCTTGATTAGCTTTCGTATTTTCTTGCTTATCAAACTCAAGCTTTGTTTTGTCACCGACTCCAGGGTTTTCAGTGTAATTTAGCTCTGATCGGAAAGATCGGGTGATTGTGTGTGTGATAGAGAGAGAGAGATTTAACGCTTTGGTGCCCCCACACATCATAAGTTGTTTAGGGTGTCCTACACTGACAAAAAACTGAGTGATTCTGGGCGTATTTCACCTCACTGGATTCAACCGGGAATAGACGAAATGGAACCAGTCGCTCATTAATATAATAGCTGAGCTGTAATTATTAAGAGCAAACTTTTTACCTCTGAGAGAATTTCACATACAGACATCTCGAGATGATTTTCACAGTCGCATTAATGCATATTACCGGATTCGTGGTTTCTTACTTCTAATTCATGTTAGGTGTATTGTTTCAATGATATTGTGTGTGTGTGTGTCTGTGGGCTTCGAACGCGCGAATATCCATTGTGCAACTGTTAATGATTTGCGAGAAACCGGGCGATAGGACAAACACGGAGCTATGATCGGACTATCCCCATAGTCCATTCGCCTTCCATGTTCCTGTCCTTTGACCAAATTTGATAAAACAGCTTTTACGCCGAAATGAGGCTTATCATGACACACGATGTGCAATTGTTACAGATTTACCGCAAAAACAGCTTGCAAGTTCAGCCACACATAATGGGGCACACACACACCCCCACCCTCCAGAAGGGAATCAGGTGACCTGAGAAATGTAGCTATCACAACTTTTTATAGATAAATTGTAATGGTCATATTTGTCTAACTTAAGTGTTATGCTCAAACCAATTTTCTCAGCATTCTTATATATAACAATGTTGTTCAGACTAATAACGTCGGAATGCACTATTTTTTTGCTATTGTGGATGAATCCCGGGGTCACTAAAACCTATAGTTTGGTTACGGGAACCGAGTTCTAAGCTGTGAGTTTTACATTGACGACGTTTGTTTCAACTCCTGTAGGACTGACAGTAGCAAAGTATAGTTCTGATGGTGGTGGTGATGATGGTGCCGACAGGGTTCAAACCCCGGAGCTTACCACTTTTAGTGGATTAAATCGTTTAGCCAACACTACGAAATACGCAAAATGGTGGTATGTACATAAACATTTCCCCCGGTTGTCACGAAGTCTAATGCCGTAAATACTTGTTCACACTCGTCACACCAATCTAGATAGCTTCGATGTGTACAAACATAGACATAAACTGAATTTAGTGTTACGATTTGTACACCAGATTAGTGTTGGAATGGAATAGATTCTTGTTCCAACAGAAGAGGCTTCATTGATAATGTGAACACAACATCGTTGTCAACAGTCTATGTTCCTCTGCCATCATCCCTATAAGAAAGCAGCATTTAGAACCCCCTGCCTTTGTTTCAGTGTATGTCATATGTTTATAATGATTCAATTATTTTACCCAAACACAAGACCTTCTTGTGCAACATGTGAGTGATATGTGTGAGACACTAATCTTGCATATTTCTCAAAGTGAATTACGAACAGCCGAAGGATTCCAGTAGAATGTGGTTGAATCCTTACTGTATCAGACAAATCACACTGTAACAATCTCTCTAGAGAAATAAATCAGTCCCCTGGTTTTACTCGTATGTGAAATACTGTCTGTCAGGTTCTGTTCAGATCAAAGCAGGTGACTTTTCCTGTAAGATTTGCAACCAAAACTTTTGGCGAATCAAAACCTGACCCACAAGTTAACATGTTGGTGTCCAGTTCCACAAACGCCCTTTGGATATGTTCAGACATCCAAAATGCTTACTTATATGACCAATTAAACCGATGATCATTTCAAGAACCAGGCCGGTGTGGGTCTGGTTCCTATACCTTTTCTTGATTGGTTTGGAATCAATGTTTTCTAGCCAACTCCTTTAGGGGAATTACCTCAGATTGTTGCTTAGTTATTCACGGTTATCTTCGCGCTATTCAGTTACCAGAATAAGTGCTATTTCGGGGCATTTCCATTTGATCTATACGTGAACTTCATTCCCTCAATGATTTTCGACATTTTTTCGTCGGTCAGAATTGAGAACTGTGAAGCGATTTGTGTCAGTTCGAAACACAATTCTGTCAAGCCACCCCCCTCGAGCTATACTGTCAGCATTTATGACCTGCAATGGTCCCGTAATTATCATATCAGGACTAAATTTCTCTCGGAAAGCATTGTATTCTCTGTGTCAGTTATCATAGCATACGTCTGCCTGATAGCCCACTTTCACCTTATCCGGTGATCCGGATTTCTGATTAAATGGGGAAGTGGGATAGCACAGAGTCTCATCGCTTTTTCTTGACACGTTTCTGTCAGTCTTTTGTTTATCTAGGCGTTCGGTTCTATCCCCAGTATGACTATTTCTCACCGAACAGCCCGAATCTATTCCCGGTATTGATCACTCTGTTTGAGTTTAGTCAATCTATCTGTTCTTGGTATTGACCTATTCACCTGGATCGATAGTGGGCGTGTCATTCAAATCACTATTATTGAATCGCATAAACCAAGAGATTTAAGCGTTTTTTGTATTCGCTTGCGGTAGTGTCACATTGAGATTTTGATATATATATATATATAT